ACCGATTCTAAGATTCATTGCAACCTACACATTCTGGTGATCCCTCTCTTGTGGTTGATGTGTAATAAAGTATGTATGTGCTGGCAAAAATATTCTTCCGCTGCCTAATCACATATTTAAGTAATAGTAATCCTAGGGCAAAGATAAAGCTGGTTGAATAACCTTCATTGGATAATTTATTTGCTTAATTTTGTGATATTTTTGCGTAAATCGTGCAACAATTTATATAAATTATTAATCCAGCTCTGGTCAAATACAATGCTGCCATTAGCAGATAGGGGATGACTGAGTGTGCTGAATTTCAGCAGAAAATACTTTTCTATATGTTGTTTACCAAGGGTTGAAACTAAAGCTTGCTGAAGTCAAAGAAAAGACGTCCACTGGCATCCAATAGGCCAATGACCCAGATTCTGATCTGTGTGCGTGACAAAAGTGATAATGGTAAAGGTGGCTGGATGCCAATTTTTTGGCCCCCAGACTCTGAGACTGACTGGGGACTGGTCCAGTCTGGTACCCATCATAAGTTAGAGCAGCCCAAAAGCAGATCCATTTTACCCACAGCTGCCTGCAATCACAAGGGGTTTTTTAGCTAGTCCTTGCTCCTAGAGAGCAGAGCTTTGTGGAGGACATTTTGGCCCAATGTGGAGCCTTTGATGGGTTACCAAAATGAAAAAGGAGAGTGTTAAAATTACAATTATTTCAGTGAAATAAACAAATAGGATTTCTGTTTCTAGTTCACATTTAGAATCAATTATATTAATAGCAATGACCAAATTCATAAGTAATGCATAAAGTAGCTTAAGTTAAACTCCACTTGGGCTAATGTAGACAAATCTTCTTAAATTTATTTAGACCCTACCTTCATCTGCCTTGCCCATGTGTTGAGAGGACTAAGATGTTGAGCACATGCTCAAGCACTAGGTAGATTGAGGTTGAAGTGAGCACAAGGGAATCTAAGGCCGGGTCTACGCTAATTCGTAAGTCGATCTAAGTTACACTCGTTATGTTACGTAAATTAAGTTGATGCACCTTGTCTACAGCATGCTATGTCGACACTGACTTATCCAGTCTTCACCAGACCCACTAAATCAATGCGGCTGCATCAGTTGCAGTGGCCCCAATTTATCCAGTAGTGAAGACAAGCCATAACTGGCATCATTTTTGAATTATTGCTGAACTCTCTCTAAACCATTTTTACTCATTTAAAAAATGAAAGTGAGCGTAAGTTGCCAGTGCTTGTTTGGTTATGTCTGTCTTCATCTAGGACACCATGTTGTTGTTGCCAAGTACAATAAACATAGCAAATAGGGACAGGATTACTATTTGACTGAATACACACCAAAACCGCTGTTTGTTGGTGGGAAGGGGACGCTTCTTTGTTTTTAGTTTAGCTAAACTCATACCACAATTGCACATGTTGTATATGTTTGATACTTGTGTACTAGGAAAGATTTTCCCCATACATCTTATTCTGTTTGGTTGTGTTCTTTATTATTATAATCCTGCCTGTGGCACAGAGAATTTTGGGTCAATTGACAATGCTGTATTTTATACAGATGGAGGTTACTGAGAAAGGTCTCTTTATTTTTTTTCAGTTTAACCAAAGTTACAGTTTCAAGTAGTCTACAGAAACAATTTATCTATCAAATAAGCAGTGTGTGTGTGTTTCATACAGCTACACCAAAAAATACAGTACAGTCAACCAGAGAACACACGGCATTCACTGAAACTATAATATAGTTCATGTCTGCCATTGCCTTTCAATTTTAGTTGTTTACAAGAAGGGACTGAAGTCTTATTTTTTTATTGAACATTCATTCAACTTGAAGAGCTTACTAAGGCTTCTGGGATAACTTTGTAATGGGTCCAGCCACTGGAACTTCTTCACTGAACACAAGGAACTGGCCTGAAATTAAAATGGCCTCTGTCTGTATTATAAAAGATCAATTTCTCAGGAAATGGGGGAAAGCCTGAAGAAATATTTGTGCAACTTCCAGTTCAATTGTAATATTGCCAACAGGGTGGTGATGATATAAATAACAAAATGGCAGGGATTCTTCTTAAGTGTGTGATTCTTAAGTTTCTTCACTTAAGAAGAAAAGAGAAAATAGCTTTAAATGCTAAAATCCCCCTCATAAATTGAAAAGTGGGAGTAAGAGTGACCTGCGGAGTTAATGGTATATGGAGTCTTTTGCTCCTCTCCTTCTATAGGGGAACCAATCTGACGAGATGCTGCCTGCAGCAGATAAGCAGTAAGTTTCCTCACAGACTCATAGGTGCCACCATCTTCTCTGTAGTAAGCATGTGCAAGTGGTGTTCTATACTAAAGGGGGTAAAAGGAAAGAGATGATGGACTTTTTTCACCTACTCCACATCTTTGGTCCCAGATAAATTTTTATTATTACACTGTGTGAGTGGCCTTCAAATAAATTCACAGATTCCATCTCAAGTGGAATGGGGTCGGCCATCTCTAGGCTGTTGTCCTCCTTTCCCTAGACCCTGTGGAGACTTCTCTGCTGGTCCAGGGATCCATGTTTGTAGGGGTAGGAAAGGGGATGGCCGGAGAGTGGGCAAGGTGGAGACAAAGCTGGAACAGATGCACATGACCACAGTAATTCCTAAACAAAAAAAATTCACCCTAAATGCCCCCAAAGCTTTTACCATGGGAGGGAGGACATGTAGCCCACTGTACATTCTATGATGCTAAAATTGTGGAGTGTGAGAGATTCCCTATGTGGCATGTACTCTTTCTGATTTATCAGTGACGGCTGCAAAAGCCACAACTTCTCCAGCATGCTTGATGATGCCCTCTAAAAGGGGGATATGCATATAGTTGTTGGTGAGCCATGGAAGTCTGGTATCCTGGGTGGTTTGTGGAGGCAGAGGGGATCCCCATGTTTAACCTGAGATCCAGGTTGTGTCCATTACTCTTTGCGGTAGATTTTCAGTCATGACTATTAGGTCAAGTTCCCCTGCCCCTTTACCCAGCTGGTCTGTGGGCCAGGAAACACAAATAAGATTTTTCCCAGATAAATTAGTCTCTCTGTGTGTGTTATGAAGCAGAAGAGCATGTGGCTATTAGATGTCCTGAAAACATGTGGTTTAATGGTGAACTTATGTTAAGACTTCCGGAACTAGAACATACCGAATCATGGAATGTTTGCGCTTTCTCCCCAAGTGACTTAAGAGTCGGTCTGCAAGGACTTGGAATTTGGTAGTTTGGTCATGGAGATTTATGAAAATTTAAACAATCGCCCTGTTGCCAATGGACTGAAAATTGATGCAAATTACTTGGTCAAGAACATCAAAGAAAATGAGCATTTTTAAACGTTCATTATTTGAGGCCACCAAACAGTGGCAAAATCATCTGTATTCCAAACATGCCAAATAATGGCTAAGTGCTCTGAAAAGTCAATATGTTGTCATTTTAATAGATTATGTTCAGTATCAGTGGCTGACAACTGTTGTCATTGCATCGAATTGGGCTAAATCCTCTAAACGAGACATCCTTGCAATAAAGCTTCACTTGTCGTCATTTTTTGGCAAGCACATTTTATTATGACGCTAACGACTCTCACTCGTGTACAGCATGAGGTGCCAATGTTTTCAATTCCAAACATTAAAGATGTGATGATAAAGAAGGCGAACCCTTATTAATTCTGAGAGATTTGCTTAATTGCAATACAATGTGAAGATTCTCAACAATAATAACAGATGATGGGAAATAAATAGGCACGGCAGGAGAGAGTCAGTTTCTAGTGTGAGTTTCCCTTTGCCTTCTTCTAATTGCATTACATACTATGGGAAGTATCTGGAGTATGCGTTCTCTAGTTAATCTTTCTTTACTGCATCCATCAAGCTAGTGCTCCTGGACATTTTAATGTCTGATAATGTTCCATTTGCATATGACTATAGCTGTCATTAGAACCAATTTACACACATGATTTGCTTCTTGAAGTGTCAACGTCTGAATTTTATCTAGAGAGAAATAGGGTCGGGAAAGTTTAATTGATTGTATAATGCAATTGAAAAGGCTGGCAGGGATCTAGGGCAATTTTGGGACATCTGTCTGAGTCATCAAAAATAATGCATATAACAGCTGTGATAACAGCAGGATTATGATTAGATATACAGCATTCAATATAAGATTGAATAAGGGCTGGAAAACAGAAAAAAGGTGTATAAGTCAGTTGTGATAAATCACTACAAGAGTTTCAGGCAGGAGTGGGTTTAAACTTTCTATCTAACCTCCACGTGGTGTACATTCAAAGTAGCTTAAAAGGTATTTAAAAAATCTTCCACCAAAAGCTGATAAATTTTCTTCACAAATAGCAATTTGTTGCCTATGTGCCCTGAATAAATATTGTAACAATCTTAACAAATATTTAGTTGTATATGGCTAAAATGTTGCATGCCATTGCCATTAAGTATCACTTGGCAATGGTGGGAAACAGAACTCATATTTTCCTGCTCCAAATTCATAGGCCTTCGTAGTATAGGGCCTATGACACACATTCATGCAATTCTTATTCTATCCAGTAGAGGGAGTGGCACACATACAACTAGCCAGGCCACTTCCATGTGTACATACTGTAGATACAATTTTGCTTTCAGAGGTTTGTATTTTATATTATACTTTGAAGGATGAAAACTTATTTTTACAAGTATACTTACTGTGTGGGGTTTAGTCCTTTTCTCTTTCAGCCAAATCATTTATCATGTTGGTTGGCACTTATGCTTTGACTTCTATAAAATCATTTAGTATGCAAGTGTCACATCAGTGAGATTATGAAATTATGGCAAATAGTTTATCAACTGTGCTTTAAAAGTACTGTCTAGTTCACATTATGCATAGCAAATAGGTACTTGAGTGAGTTCTCTAAAAATTTTCAGTTGTTTGCAGCCTGAAATTCTGTCTCTTATTTACAGAGATTGATACAAGACACAATGGAGATGGTAACTATTTATATGATGACTTCATTTATATTCTCTCTTACCAGGTTTATAATGGATAAAATCTGAAGATGCAAAGGGCATGGGGTTATACAAATTTAGGTAAGAACTATTTTACACCTCCTCACTCACAATTCAGTTTACTCTTGGTTTTAAGATTGTGCAGCTAGTACACTGAATACATAATGTTTATGCTACAGTCACCATGTGAAAAAATAAAGGTAACGCTGGGGATATTTGTGTATGCTTTACATTTAATCAACAGAACATACTTTTACTCAGTAAAATTTTTTATGAAAGTCACAAAAATGAAACCAGAGATTTTTGTTTATATTGGTATAAAAAGTTGTGGTGATTCAAAATCATAGGAACACCCCCCTGATATAATGGTAACAAATGCAGCCCAGAGCGACTTATTTTTCCCACAGATGAATGGCTTTTGTTAACAAATGCTTTAGCATCAGACAGGAAAGGGAGCCTTCTTATCTGACAAATCACTCGAACAAAGGTAGCAAATAAGTTGATTGAATACCGCTTAACTTCTTGTTATGCTCCTGTGTTTGCAAGACAGAACTTTTTATGATTGTAATGAAACTTTGCAACTGTCCCATGTACTGTAAGAGAAGTAGGAGCCTTGGTATCTCTTCTTTATTTAAGATTCCCAGCTCACTGCTTGATTTAGAAGCAGGTTTTGGCATAGGCAGGCACCAACAGCAGAGAAGCTTGTATTTGTGCCAACTTGTTTTCCCACCCAGACATGTCAGTACACTGAAGATCATGTCCTAATCAGTATTTAGCAGATGTACTATAGGCTTAATTTATGCAGGCATTGTAGAATTTTTTTGCAGGTATTTCATGTAACTGTAACATCCTTATTCTTCATAGCAGGCATGTATAAAATCTCTGCAAGGCAAAATATATGCTGCTTTATTTATTGTTAGCAAATAAAAATAACATGATAGTCAATCAATAGCCTCAAAAAGGCTTTAGGGAAACATATCCAAACCAATAATTAACAGTGGGTATTGCACAATATTCTGGCAAGGCATACTGAAAGGCACAATTGGCAAGTATGGATGGCTTTTATTAATGTTGGTGGTTATCAAATGACCCATCTAATGCCAATTAACAATTATCTTCTAGTTCCAATTCCCATCCTCCTGGGGATTGCTTTGTTCTACACTGATGGCCCAACTGCAGCAGAAACGGGTCAGTTGATAGTCTTTCTGAACCAAAAATGAAACTGCATGTGGGAAATAATGGGAAGAAGCACAGCATGCTTATACGTTTTAGCTCTACATCTATAAGGCAGGCAATGCTGGCATTAGCCCTTTCCAGGGATTACAGATGAACATATCAGCAACGACCAAATAATTTTATGCCCAATCCAGCTAATAAGGGTTAACTATCTGGGGGGAAAAGGACCCAGCCTAACTAAAAGCCTAAACACCAGCTTGAAACTTCAAAGGGGCATAAACTAAAATGAATAAGGGCCACTGCAATTCCAAATAAATGTGTTTACACGGGGAGTTACACTGGTATAACTACAGTGGTATACTGATTTGCAGGTAAACTTCCCCATGCAGACATGTCCCTGAGAACCTAAGACAGATGTGTCTGTAAAATCCACTGTAAGGTCTGACCAGGTCTAGCAGACTTTCACTCACTGCTGCCTTTAGATCTTTTAGATGCAAGAGCTTCTCTGCTATTAGAGTCAGGGAAACCCTGGAACATGAGTATATAGACAGCGGCTGGCCTAGCAGAGACTGCCAGACCTGCTGCAAGTCTGCAATGCACCCTTTGTAATATCAACAAAAGCAGAGAAAAGGGGCCTTTCTGAAGATTAAAGAGGGGGGTGTTTTGGGGATCAGGAGGGGAAAAATGAAAGTGGGATGAAAACAACTGGATGTAAGATGGGGATCAGTCACGGAGAAAGCAGAGGATTAGTTCATGGAAGTTGGGACACGAAAGAGTGAGGTTAGGGGAAGAATGTGGTAAAGCTTGTGGAAGGAGGAAAATTCTGCAATAGATAGGGAAACCTTCTGAAGTTTCCTGCAAATGTGGAGGGTCTTACCCGCTCTTCCTCCCAAGTAAGAAACAGTGACTCTGGCCCCCAGACCTCATGCATATTTCGAGATACTGCGAAGCTAGGGCCATCCAGGCTGATGCCCTGTGCCTTTGTGCTGGCTCCAAGATTTCTTGTGGCTGTTTTCTGTCCCTTGGTAGTATAGCTCTGTGGGAGCCTTGCACTTCTGGCTGCTTTCAGGACCCATAGAAATGAGGGTAGCATGGTGCAGAGGGGGGCACTGAAGAGGTAACACAGCAAGGGTCTGTTACCTTTTTGCCAAGTTCTTACTGGGTCCAGTGGGGATAATGTGCTTCCCCAGGCCCTCCCTATAGCTACAGAGCATGTGCATATCTGATACTCCCCACTCTATCCCCTCACACATGATATATCTATGCACAGAAGAGGATCTCCCCCCCACCTTCCAAAATGTGTAAGTATGGGATAAATTTAACTTCATTTCCTCAGCTTGGAAAGGAGAAGGATTGGATTTGGAGAAGACTTCTGAAGTTTTGTATGGAGACTTATCCAAACCTCTGAACCTTTGGGGGTTTGCTCATCCCTAGTACTGGAGATGTATCCTACGTTAAGGCAATATCACAGTAGCAATAACAACTTTGCTCTCTTAGCTCCCAAGAAGACATTGTTATATTTTCACCTTTGGGGCATGTTTGTAAGGAAAGTTTCTACTCTGTGTAACTCACGTGGAGCCCACAAAGGATCTGTATTACTATTGATTTTCTTTTTTTTCACGAGAGCTCTCAGAAGAGGCTTGTATGAGTATTAATTTAATTATAAGACAGCTAAGTTTTTACCAGAGTTGTCAATCATATTTAAGTCTTGCAAAAGGCAGGTCACGTTCTCAGCACAGGAATAAAAGACAACAGCATGAAATTTTTTGCTTGGGATTAGGGCTGTCGATTAATTGCAGTTAACTCATGTGATTAACTAAAAAAAATGATTCACGATTAATCATGATTAAAAAAATTTAATTGGACTGTTAAACAATAGAATGCCAACTGACATTTATTAAATATTTTTGTATGTTTTTCTACATTTTCAAATATATTGATTTCAATTACAATACAGAATACAAAGTGTACACTGCTCACTTTATATTTTTTATTACAAATATTTGCACTGTAAAAATGATAAAAGAAATAGTATTTTTCAATTCATCTTACACAAGTACTGTAGTGCGATCTCTTTATCATGAAAAGGGCAACTTTTCATGATTGATTTTTTTTGTTACATAACTGCACTCAAAAACAAAACAATGCAAAACTTTAGAGCCTACAAGTCCACTGAGTCCTACTTCTTGTTCAGCTAATCGCTAAGACAAACAAGTTTGTTTGCATTTATGGGACATAATGCTGCCCTCTTTCTTATTTACAATGGCACTTTTGTAGCCAGCATTGCAAGGTATTTACATGCCAGATATGCTAAATATTTGTATGCCCCTTCATGCTTCGGCCACCATTCCAGAGGACGTGCTTCCATGCTGATGACACTCATTAAAAAATGCGTGACTTAAATTTGTGACTGAACTTCTTGGGGGAGAATTGTATGTCTCTGGCTCTGTTTTACTCACATTCTGCCATATATTTCATGTTGTAGCAGCCTTGGATGATGACCCAGTACATGTTGTTCGTTTTAAGAACACTTTTGCTGCAGATTTGACAAAACGCAAAGAACGTGCTAATGTGAGATTTCTACAGATAGCTACAGCACTCGACAGAATCTGGAGTGCCTTCCAAAGTCTGAGAGGGTTCAGGTATGGAGCATGCTTTCAGAATTTTAAAAAGAGCAACACTCTGATGCAGAAACTACAGAACCCGAACCACCAAAAAAGAAAATCAACCTTTCTGCTGGTGGCATCTGACTCAGATGATGAAAATGAACATGCGTCAGCCCGCACTACTTTGGATTGTTATTGAGCAGAACCCGTCAACAGCATTGTCCTCCGGAATGGTGGTTGAAGCATGAAGGGACATCTGAATCTTTAACGCATCTGGCATGTAAATATCTTGCGATGCCGGCTACAACAGTGCCTTGCGAATGCCTGTTTTCACTTTCAGGTGATGATGTGAACAAGAAGCGGGCAGTATTTTCTCCTGCAAATATAAACAAACTTGTTTGTCTGAGCAATTGGCTGAACAAGAAATAGGACTGAGTGGACTGGTAGGCTCTAAAGTTTTGCATTGTTTTGTTTTTGAGAGCAGTTATTTTTTGTATATAATTCTGCATTTGTAAGTTCAACTCTCATGATAAAAAGATTGCACTACAGTACTTTTATTAAGTGAATTGAAAAATACTATTTCTTTTGTTTTTTACAGTGCAAATATTTGTAATAAAATAAAGTGAGCATTGTACACTTTGTATTCTGTTATAATTGAAATCAATATATTTGAAAATGTAGAAAACATCCAAAATATTTAAATGCTATTCTGTTGTTAATGCTATTCTGTTGCTCTTGTTTGTTTAACAGTGTGATTAATCGTGACTAATTTTTTTTTTAATTGCTTGACAGCCCTACTTGGGATATGAGGCAGTTACAAACCTCTCCCTCCCTTCCAGAAGCTGAGGAAAACACCTGGGTTGGATAGGTGGACTGAGGGAGGAGAAAGGCTTTAACTGGAGAAGGTCACTGCCCAGGTGGCTGGAAATACAGATGAGCTCTCTAGTCTTTGTGTTATCTCTATAGGGGGATTTAAATCCTTAGAGCGAAGTTCCAGTAGTTGAGGGGTTTGTATGTCAGCAAATATATGATGTGGTAGTTCTAAATACCTGGATTGTTCAGACTTCTATCATACTTGAATTACTGGACACATTCTAAATACCTGGATCATAAGATTAAAAATGAAAACTTATATCATGTACTGAACTACCGGATTATAAATGCAATGACTGTAAGTATGTTAACATTAACTCTCTGATACATAAGTATAATGCATCTTGAATACAAAGCTGACTAAATTCAAAAGTAAAATATAAACATTATTTAGAAGTGTGAAATAATATAGGTCTTTGCATGATC